CAGCCAAAAATGGTCATTCCAGTCTTCCAGGTCTTTGCCGGCGATGATGTTCATCGACCAACACGACTAGTTGCTAGGTAGCCGCTAGCGGGGCTCGAGAGTGAGCCCCAACGCAAAGCGGGATGAATGAGTTCCGCTAGCGATCGGTAAACTCTCATTAAATGGGTTTCAATTTTCGTGACCTAAATTGCCACAAGATCGAGCTTGTGGCTCAATGCATGCAGTTTAGTTTTGTAAGCCACTTCACCCAAACTCACTCCCGGCCCTCCGGACATTGTTTTGTCATCAGAACCTGGTGGGTGCGTGAGGTAGATGCTGCACGTAGGTACGTCACCCCATTAACCAAGTAACGCGCAAGTCACCGTGGGACACTCAGTGGATGTATTCGCTGATGACGGTCAACTTTTCATCGTCACCTTTGACCGCTACAGGCGTAAGGCTACCGGAGCTGGAACTGGAACCGGAAACTGCATTATAAGTTTTGTATGGGTTCAAGAGCGGTATTGTTTCCGTCAAATTTTCCGGATTTCATGGTTTGTAAAGGAAAGTTCCTCTTGCGCGATTTTGCCATGGCTTATGATTCAGCCTCAGGTACAACTCAAAGCAGGAAAGACGGGTTTAGGTACTGTTGCCTGTCACCTGAGTCATGGGCCTACAGCCTGTCGGTTACGATCGGGCACGTTTATATTCGACCTGAGTGCAGTGCGGACTATGATAGTTACATTTTCGCATGCAAGCAGTCGGGTCATTAGCCACATGGACTGGCGTAGATGGGCTTAACCGGGAGCTCTGACGTAAAACGAAAATCCCCTATTGGCCCCTGGAATCGCATAACCTCGGTGAATTTTAATCTCACGTGACTTCATGTTGGCCTAAGCCACAAACACTTCCGGCGTGAGTGACAGATTCACGCCACACGACCGATCGTGAGGCCGGCACTGGGCCGCGGAACACGAGTAGACTTGGTATTTAATGAGTCGACAAAGCCAATTCGAGAATTTCGATTTCGGTAAGATCCTTCATATTTTGTGCGTCCGTCATTCCAGTTGGTCTGTCACGCACACAGCAAACAAGTAATATCAAGCGACGTGTCGGGAAGGTCGTCCAAGTATGTGAAATAAAAAAAGAGGTCTAGAAATTTTCTGTGGCCTTACAATACACTCACAATTTCTAAAATAATGTATAATTCAAAAACTCAATTTACATGAACTTTCCTTTGACATTTAAGACAGCTTGTACTCTAATTGGTATCGAATGAATGAGATTCTGGGGGTCTCCAACGCGATCTTTCTCCAGGTGTCCAGCAGGGATCTCTCCAATCCAGCAACGGTAGCAGGAACGGACAGTTTCTCTTCAAGTATATTCTCAAGAATAAACCATAGATTTTCAATTGGATTCAATTTGGGATCATTTGCTGGCCCCATATCCTTCCTCCATAAATGTGGAACGTTCTCTGGTGGCAACCTCTGGGTCTCCAGAGCCATATGAGCTGTGGCTCGGTCCTGCATAAAAATAATCCTTAACATTTTAAAGCTTCATTTCCGTTGTACGATTTTGAAAATTTTGCAAACAGCAAAATTAATTGGATCCATTAATTTCGAGAGTGCTCATCAGTTGTTTCCTCTCGCTGCGTAACGTGAATAAGGATAGAGACAATACAAATTGAATTCATAGAGAAATATCGATACAAAACAGCAACGTCACAGGAAATGGCCCAGTTTTTGCTCCCCATAGTGTTTTAACGTTCTTAATTTATTTATTACCTCTTGGCCATTTCCTGTGACCTGGCTGTTTTGTATCGATTTTTCTGCATGAATTCAAATTGAATTTTCTCTGACCTTATTCACGTTACGCAACGATAGGAAACAACTGATGAGCACTCTCGGAATTAATGCATCCAATAAATTTTGCTGTTTACAAAATCTTCAAAATCCTTAGCATGTTCGAAACGCGTTTATTCATTAATTTTGATTTGCTCACATGGTTTTTTTAGTCTTTTAAACAGGTTTTGCTTTAGGATGTTCTCTGTCTCTAATATTCACTATTTAATCATTGACCCTGGGGCAAAATATGGACGTCAGAGAGCCCTCCAAAGGACATTGCTTACCACACCATGGCAGTAGGACTAAACTTCGGAAAAGTAACATTCTCAACCAAATTACGACTTGGAGCCTAAATAACGTCATTTTTTGGGGTTGGTGGGTGGAACTGCTCATACGGTGATTAACCCGAGAAGACCTCCTGACCACCTCACAGTAGGCGCTCTACTACAACAACAATAAGAATATTCCGTCTGATGGAAGAAGGCAGTCAGATGTTAGGAGTGATTTACTGGTACACAAGGCAATTTGTCATAAATCGTCTGTTTGCTTGCGTGTGGTAACTCTGTCCTTCTGGGAGCATGTGAGCAGCGGTGGCTGGACAATTCAACTGTTCGACAGCATGTTAGCAGGGGTAAGTGGTTTACGCGCTTGGATCGGTTAGCGTGGGAGTGACTGTCTGGCTGTGGGGCGCGTTATTGGTTGCGTCAAAGGCCGTGGTTTGGGGGGTCCGATGACAAGGTCACTGGGGCGCATAATAGGCTGGAAAATGCGGCTGGTCAGAAGTGCACACGCGACCATGACGCAACTCAGCTCAAGCCTGTGAGAGCCGGCGTGCTTTGGCGGTGGCAGTAGCACCCAAGCTATTATACAAATACTGGCAAAAGTAGCTTATGCAGG